CGGATTTTATTGGCCTGCATAAAAAATGTCTGATATAAGCGCTCCGATATAAGCAGTCCATTCCACCAGTCCACTGACTCCACTCCAGTGTCTCTATCCAGCAGCGCTTGGATCCAGCATGCAGAGCCCACGTGATCACAACAACATGCTGCACTCAGTGCGCTAACAAAGTAGTTAGCAGTAGGAGCGATGTCGACAGTACTTTCTATTTTCATCAGAAACAGAGTTGAAGCTAAGTGCAAAGTTGTCATGCACAAGTTTTCCATGTGGGCACAGAACCGTGTACGTTTTAAACCAGAGACAACCAGGCTCTGCTCTCCACCCTGGCAGCAGCTTTGCGGTTCGGCTCGGTTCAGTTTCGGTCCAGTGTGTCTCCATGGTTCCAGTTTCAGAAYGTCCTCTCCGGTCTGGTCGGTGGTTCTAAGTGGGCAGAAGCGAGGACAGTACGCTTCGGTTTTGACATCAGCAGAGTGCTGCCCGTGGATTAGCTCTGGGATTGATGGACAGAAGAAAGGAGAGCGCAGCTTTTGTTTTGGAATACGAGAGCAACAAGACGAGAGCTAAACACTGCAGGAGCGAGAGGCTAACCTCCATATGATGCTCAGACTGTAGAAAGTGGAAATGCAGCAGTAAGAAAGGTGGCTATCAATTTAATTAACAAACTCTTACTATTTATTTTTGCTCTTGTTATTAGAGTGATGTTTAATCTGTTTACACACTTGTTTTAGTGAAGATTAAGTGCAATGATCATGTTCTTTTGGGCACAGTCAGTTAAATTAGCTGTGGACTCTTTACTTTGAACAGACAATAATGTGGGTTTTGCTTTGTCCCCACCTTCAGTTATTCCCACCATAAAGCAGCACAAGGCTGACAGATAGTTAAAAAAACTAGTGATTTTGAATTGCTATTTTACACTTTAAAAGTACATTTTGTTTTTACTATGTTTTGTTTTCAGAGTATTGTAATTAATTTTAACTAAAATGTAGATTATTATTCAGTTTAAAATGTACAGTATGTGATCCACTGGTTAAAATAAATGGGTAAATTTTTTTTCTCATACCTACTCTTTTTCACTGTTTGACTTGATCAAGACTTTTCTAAGATTCCACACTACAAAATAGGTAAAAGTGTGTGATTCGTACTGAAATGGTATCGGGTCAATATCAGTATCGGTCAATATCGGTATCTGCTAATTCTCAAAGTTGCAATATCGGTATCGTTTCGGAAGTGAAAAAGTTGTATCGGGACATCCCTAGCAGGAACACGTCAAATCAGTTCCACTGACTGATAAAGTTCCACTCAACAGAACGTTCTGTGTATGAAAATGAAGCACCCWAAAAAATTAAACCCTCTTCCTAACCCCCAATTTATATTGCTTGCGTTCCGTCTCCGCTCCACTCCACTCCGGTCCGACCTCCGCAGCAAATACGCACCCATTATAATCCATGAGAGTGTTTACACTGGCTGCGCATGGCGGCGCAGGGCGGCGGTGAGCGGACGGCGATCCGTCAAAATTAGAACAGATCCTATTTTTGCCGGACGCCGGARCWGCGCCGGAGTCAATTTTTAAAGATTACGTCGCACCAACAGGAAAAGACACGAGCACAACATCCGTATTTTCAAAATAAGACACTATTCGGCTGAATAATTTGTCGGAATAATGTCGAAATTGCAGCTATATCAATAAATATACGGATATATTTCTACACAAATACTGTCAGAATGTATCGTTCTGTTTGGGAAGCAGATGGAAACATGTAGTATGAAGCATATGTGTACACACGATACACGTGGATTTTATTTTGAAATCAGAAGTTTCAGAAAGCCGACGGCGAGACAGTTTCAACATAGCTACCAAAAGCCTTTATATCGTTGTTTTCAGCTGTGTTTGGAGTTCGTCTTTCACAGAATTAATTATTTTTTGCTGTAACTTCCACATTTATCACTGAATTTATCGCGCAATCTGCTTCCTGCACGTCTGTCGGACCGGAGCAGAGCGGAGGTGGTGTAAACTGGACTTGAAACGCACAGCTGCGACCTGCGCAGTGGAGCGGAGCGCAGCGGAGACGCATGCAGTATAAATCCGGGGTAAATCATCCGTCACCACTAGAGCTGCCACAAACGATTATTTTTTATAGTCGACTAATCATCGATAATTTTTTTGATTAGTCGACTAATTGGATCATACGTTAATTGAATATAAAACATACAGCTTATCGTGCCAGAATGCAGCTGCTATTATATAACCATGGTTAGATTTTAGCTATATGCCAACTTAAAATAATGGCTGTGGAAGGCAAGTTCTGCTYTGCAGATATTACACAGGTTTCTCTTTCATTTTCTTAAAAAGATCCCACACTTTTGAGCTCCATTGCCAGGTAACCATGATCCCAGAGCCTGTCTGTATAATGCTTTGTGATGTCCACGGCCTACCCCAGTTACCACTACTGTACATGTGTGTCAAGGACAGAAAGGCAGATGTGGCAGTGGAAGTTGTCAAAGCAGTTTGGAGAGAAAAACAAAAAGTTAAGAAAAAAAATCGATTAATCGATTATTAAATTAGTCATCGATTATTTTAATAATTGATTAGTCATCCATTAATCGACTAATTGTGGCAGCCCTTCTCACCACCATCAGGAGCTGAGTCGAGCAAAGTCAAACTGGTGCAGCAAACACAACACTGTATGGCAGGCCATTTTAACATATAATCAGCTTAATGAAATTGGTTTATGACTAGACATAATTAGTTAATTAAAATATTTTAATTACATTTTGACTAGGCAAAATACCTATTTCAGATATCTCTCTTTTTGTTCTGACTAGTCATAATTCCAATTAAAGGTATCTTAAAAATATATTGTAAATATTGGTGTTCTTGGCAGTTTGACAGTTTTATCATTCATATCAAAATCAAAATTATATTGTATCGACTGAAATTAGGCGCCATCTCGTGATGTAAATTTTAGTCGTWTCATCCAGCTCTAGATCAAGGTAAGTGCTGTAACCATCAACGTTCAGTTCATAAAGATGTCACGAGACACAAAACAGAGGGTGATCAGAGAGAGAGAGAGAAACCGTAACATGCTACAGCTTCTTCCTCCCAAACAGATGTTAGAGAAATCATCAAAGATGAGTAACATTTTTCCAGCTGGCTCTACCTTCGTGAGTAAGACCATGACTCTGCTCATGTCTAGACAAGACAGTGAACGTTTAGAAATACGTCAGCTCTCAGCTTACTTTATTTATATATTTTTTTTTTAAAGAAAGGAAATAGAGAAGAATCGATTTACCCACAAGCAGAAACAAGACTGATAGACTTTGTTCCACTTCTGTGTGATGGAAGCCAGTCTGCAGTTAGCAAGTGTGGAAGTCATCCCGGTCTCATATCCATGCGAGGAAGACGATGCCAGCTTCCCATATGAGCTCAAAGTAGTTTCAAATATCACTCAGACATCCTCAGGTAATCCCTTGCATATGCTGTGTAACTGTTTTACCGTCTATCTCACGTTTGGAGCTGACATTTTGGCATGTTTCCACTCACAAAAGGTAGCTCATCTCTTCTCATTCGCACGCTGATTTGGAGATCAAAATGATCATGTTTCATGTTTTCTGTCACACAGAACATGCCTTAATCCACTTTTTACAAATAAAAAATCATGACGTGAAAACATCTGTGAGTGTTTAAAGTTTTGTTTCCATGGTAGAACACTCTAAACAATGATGCAGACACAACTAAACGACTTGCTTGGGGTGGGGGGAGGCAACACAGCATCGCAGACAGTGAATGAATAACCTCCAACACTTTGTTCCCAGTTATTTTATCTCTCCCTTGGATTGTTCCCACGCCTTGAATGCAAAAGCCAAGCGAAACGCTCACTGCAGCCCTGTGTGAATGTAGAACCAAAAGCTGCAAAGTGGATCCAGTGAGGAAGAGGACACAGAGCTGGTGTAAACCGAGACACAAGTGATGCACTACAAAGAGTCCATTTGCTGTGTTTCAACTGAGCTTTATTCTGATAATAAACTCTGAAAATGTGTTTATGTAGTTTATAACAAACCCAATTCCAGTTATAAGAGGTGTTACAAAGCAAAATGTGTTTACTAGAATTCTGTAGCTAAAAACAGCAAAGATACATTTTTTTAAATTGTTATTTTACAGCCCAGGTTCGACACCATTGTGTTGCAGAGACCCATCGTGACAAATGACAATGATGATWGTCATTGTTAAACTTGTTTGCACATCATGTGAAAGCGCTACTCATGGCTGAGTTTACCTGTAACTCCTCAGACTGAAGGCTCTTGGAGAAACCAGAAGAACCCATCCAGACGACCWAGYWRTCTAGTGGCATTTTTTWAGATGTCCTTAAATGTTTAGCATATTTGTTTCCTTCTTGTCCTTTCCTWTATTTTTCCTCTTCATTACCTCAWGACTCACCTGTCCCTCRTTTTCTAATTAACCTCACCTGCATATACTCAGTAATCAGCCCTCCTTCCTCTTCAATCCCCGCTCCTATCATACTGCTCCCGGTCTTCAGTGTTTCAAATGTTTGCTCTGTAAATTATCTTCTGTACTTTTTTTTGTTTGTTTTAAGTCCCACCTGTCTAGTAATTTKAATAATAAAATGTATTGTTTTGATGAATTTTTTCAGTAATTTGTGTCCTGTTTCACACAACTTGTTTGTTTTATGGTTGGAGAGAGTGTTCATTTCAATTCACTGGTCAACAAATTCAACCAATTTATAATATTCAGGTTTTATGATGAACTTTGTATTTCCTTGGTGAGATCATTCCGTCAAGTTGCCCAATATTAAAATCAAAGCTTCAAACTTTTTTTTTTTGTATTTTCCAAGTATCACTGTAATAAAAACWGCACTCTTCACAACTGATCTCATTAACTGCACAGGTGATGTACAGGTGASCACACAACCTGGTGGAGGAAGGCAGAACAAGTCCCCACTAACTGGCCCACAACAGAACTCCTTCAGGTCCAGATCTCTTACCTTCTGATAAGCCAGCTGGAGGTAGTTGTAGGGGATCCTCCTGTTGAAGTCCTGAACCACGTCCTCGCTGACTTTATGCACAGACTGGACGCCCAGTTTCTCGTCGATGCATCTGTTGGCGCACGCAGCCCTCCGCAGCACCGTGTCGAAGAAGCCCAGGTCCGAGGAGAGCGCCTGGTCGAACGGATGCTGGTCCTGACACCTCAGCCGGCACCGGACTTTGGAGCGCCGGACCTCGGCGCAGCTGCGGAGGGCTCCCTCCATGTGGCGGACCACGTCGTCGTAGTCGTTGTTGTAGAAAGCCCGCACCGCGTCGTCGTACAGCAGGTCGTAGGGCTGCAGGGAGGCTGCTGCTGAGGAGAACCACTGAGCGAGCAGGGTCATCAGAGCCGGGGACCAGTTTCCGTCCATCCTCCCTCTGGTTTGGTTCAGGTGGAGAGGAGACCGAGCCTGGGGACGGTCACAGCGTTTCGCAGCCCACTTTAAACGGACTTAATTGCGGACGGAACTGCAGCAGGGCGGAAATCGTGTTAGAAGACCCGGGGACACACATTTTGTAGAGAGACCCCCCCCTCTTATCATTGGTTCGGCTGACTCCGCCCCTCCGAACAGATGAATGGACCGCACACTGCTTCATCTCCCCCCCCCACCCCCCGACATGTAAGCAGGTCGGAACTGTGGGGAGTCTATATTTTTCTTCTTTTTCAATTATGAAACAGCTCTCATGAAGTTTCCGAACAAAAATAAACTCTACAAAACAACTTCAAATCTTAATTTCCCAACGAAAATAAATTATTAGTTTAGTTCTGYACTTTAGTAATTTAAAATAACCATTTGTCAGAGCCGTCTTCCGGACTTTTCCATTGTCAACAAAAGAAACTCGCGTGCACGTGCTGGTCAAAGATGGGCTGCCACCTCAGTGTGGAGACTGGCTCCCTCTGGTGGTTGTTTGACGCAATGGCATGTYCAGGATACATTTCGTTAAAGTCTTTCTCAAAATTTGATTGTTAAATTTTTTTGTCTATAAAATTTAAATCATTTATAATTATTTTATGCAATCTAAGGATTAGAATTGGTTCTAAGTTTTTGCTAATTATATTATTCATTGCAATTGGAATATTATCTACCACATTTCTGTAATCCTCAGGGGTACACACTGTTTTATATTTAATCCTAAATTCCTCATAATTTAATAACCCCCCTTTATCATTTATCAGATGAGTAATAGACCAAATTTGTTTTTCCATCCATCCTTCCATGAACATTGATTTCCATCTTCTTAGGATTACCCTATTGTTCCATAATTGAACATTATGTGGACTGAAGTTGTGCTTGTAAATTATTTTCCAGTGTAGCAGGACTTGTTGATGGAAGGCAGAGAGTTTCACCAGTACTTTAGAAACCTCAAAGTCACATTTCAAAAGGAAATCTATGCCTCCTAATTTTTTTTAATAGAAAGTTGGGTAAAAGAGAACCAAATGTCTTCRCTACATCTTAAAAATGACTGAAGCCATCTTAATTTGAGCACCCTATTCATAGCTTCAAAATCAGTTGCTTTTATTCCTCCATCTTCATAATCTTTGACCATGTCTGCTTTTCTAATATAGTGATGTTTATTTTTCCAGATGAAATTGAAAATTAGGGTATTTATTTTCTTTCAAGTTTTTGTAGAAAGGGCTAAAGAGTAAGTGGGGTATATTAGTCAGGAAACAAATTCAGATTTTGTCAACAGCCATCTTTCAATTACCGTTAAATCTCTTTGCAACCAATTATTTAAAATTCTTCTGGATTTTTTGATTGGCTTCTGAATGTTATTATTATAACTAGATTTAGAATCTTTAAACACCCATATACCTAAATATCAAACTTCCTTTTTCACTGGGATGTTATACAACATCTTTTCTGAACTGTCATGGATACTTAAAACTTCAGATTTATTAAGGTTAAGTATTAGACCTGAAGCCTGTGAGAACGATTTCACTACCTGAAGAGCAACTGGTATATGTTCCTTATTTTTCAAAAACAGTGTTGTGTCATCTGCTAATTGACTAATAATAATTTGTTTATTATCTATTGTAATGCCAACAATTTTTGAGCTTTTTAATTGTATGGACAATAGTTCAATGACAGTAATAAATAACAGAGGTGACAAACTGCAACCTTGTCTTATATCTCTTCCTAGATTAATCCTTGGGGCTGTTCCTTCTGGGAGGGACACACAACTATGTGTAACATCTTAATTATATCCAGAAAAAAATCTCCAAATCCAAAATATTTTAGTGTCTCATAAATGAAAGGATGTTCAAGTGAGTCAAATGCTTTCTGAAAGTCAAGGAATAAAATATAAGCATCATCTTCTACTAGATCACTGTAATCTATAAGACCTAACACCAGTCTGATATTGTTATGAACAGATCTATCTTTCATGAATCCTGATTGTGAATTACTAAATATTTTTGAAAGACCTGTTTTTAACCTTGATGCCAGCACCATTGTAAAGAGTTTGTAGTCTGTACTGAGAAGAGTGATGGGCCTTAAGTTATTTAATATTCTTTTGTCTTTTTCTGGTTTGGGGATTAGTTTAATTAGACCTTGTTTCATCGTTGTCATTAATTCCTTTTTATTAATTATTTCTATAATTGCATCAAATAGTAAAATTTTAATCTCTTCCCAAAAATGCTTATAGAAGTTAGCAGTTAATCCATCAGGACCAGGTGAACGATCCGATGCAATGTTGTTTATAACTTTATCTAATTCATCTAATTTTAGGTCTTCTTCAAAGACATTTTTGAAATTTTCGTCAATTTTTGGAATCTTATCCATCTTATTGTTTTAAAAAAGTATTTGGAATATTGTTCATTATAAGAGGGGGAGTAAATATTACTGTAAAAATGATATACTTCCATTGATATTGTTTTTGAGTCTGTACATTCCTCCCCATCAATTAATAAACAAGTAATTGCGTTTTTTTTTCTTGTCTTTGTTTTTCTAGCTTACTGAAAAATGATGAATTTTTTTCCCCATCTTCTATCCACTTTGACCGTGATCTGATAAATGCACCTCTGGCTTTAGTGAGGTAAAATTGGTCTAAGTCGGTTTGTATATTTGAAATTTGTATTTTATCTTCTTCTGACCAAATAYCTTTAGAATAATAATTGAGCAGGTTTTTAACTAAATTGTTTTCCTTTTCCCTTTTTTCCATTTCTAGGTTTTTACTAAAAGCAATAGATAATTTCCTTTATGAGAATTTTAAAAATTCCCATTTTTGTATTTGAGATAGGTTGGTATTATTACTAACATCTATAATCAGTTTTTTTTTATTTCACGGCAATATGCTTCATTTTTTAAGAGGGATGAGTTTAATTTCCAATAATCCTTCCTTCTCTTAAAGAGAGTTTGATCAGAAAGGATCAGGCTTATCATGCAGTGATCACTTAGGGGGCTTACAGAAATATCAGTAGTGATTTGGACTGCATTAAAGAAGCAGAGATTAACCAGTAATCATTTCTTGATCTTGCATTAACATTAGGTTTCAACCAAGTATATTGTCTTATGTTAGGGTTATTAACTCTCCACACATCTAATAAACCATTCTTATTCATAAACTTATCAATAATTGGATTTGGATGACACTAAATATTTTGAAGGCCATCTGTCTAACCATTCGTTTGAAGCCATGTTAAAATCACCTCCTACTATTACAGGTCTGTGAAATATTTTATTTTCAGCTCTTCTGATATTTGTTATTTGATAAAGCAAAGTTTTATTCTTAACTTAATTGT